TAAAATGTTGTTTCTTATTTTAAGTTATACAATTATGAATACGATTTTATTTGTTTCAACAGAATAAGGGTTCATGAAGTATATTAACCAAAATATTTTTATAATTTAGTATCAAATCTCAGTAAAATATTAAAAAGGTTTTGTGAAAGTAAGTAAATTTATAGGAGTGGGGAGATTTTTTTCAGCCCCCAAAACTGACAGAAAAAACACACACAAAAACCATTGCAAAATCAATACATTAATCGCTCGTCTCAGAGTCAAAAATAATTAAATAACAACTATGGTTTGTATTGTTTTATGAACACTATATTGTGTCTAAGTAAAAGTATTGGTACTGCGCCGATTCACAAGGGTCTGATCGAACGAATCTACACATGCAGTTGATGACGAAATAAAAAAATAGAAAATTAAAGAAAAAACTTTTTGGTTACAGAACAACTACTTAACGTTCATTTAAAATTTTAATAGTAAGCGTTAAATGATTTACATTTTTAACTACAAAATGATTTGTAAATTTTTTCAAAATTTGAACTTAGTGTTATGACCTGAGCTTTCTCTGAATTGTCAGAATAACGAGTTCCACCAGTTGGCCACTTTATATAGATATATTACCGTCATTCTTTGTATAAGAGTGGTGACTACTGACTATATTACTATACTCATATAAAAAATTTGCGATTCGAGTGCCTTTTGATAGCCTCGCCTCGAAGTTCAGGTGATGTTAGGTTAGTCCATATTCATAACTAAACTGATAAAATTATCTTAAAATACAGCACATAAATTTAAATTTGAAATGTTACTCTATTCATAGATCATAGCCTTTCACTATTAAATTATTTTAAATTATTAAAGTGGTTTATAATATTATAAATATGAAATAAGATAATATGTATGATTTGTAATTTTGAATTAAGTTGTTTTTAATTAAATAATACAATTTAAAAAAAAACTTATACAATTATTATACATTTGAAAAATAAAATATGCTAGTCGCTCGAAGTATTCTATGAATAGTTATTTTAATTTTTAATTTTCAATGTTGTTTACCACCAAGTTTATTAAAATGTAATATAAGACTTATTTTTTGCCCACCGGATATCGAATATAATAAAAAATATGTTAAATCGTAATTTAATATCGGTAGGTACTGTGTGAACTATTCCAATAATTAATTATTTACATAAGTGTTTTTATTGATTTTTTGTTAGATAAAATATTATGGACTGATCATATTCAAATGAACTGTCGAATTCTCGATGAAATTAACATAGTATTGAAACGATAAGTGACTAAAATATTATTCTAGTCGCTGCAATAAAAAATATACAAGCAAAGTGCGTTAAGTGCGTGATGTACTATTATAACTCCGCTTTGAATAATATATATTTTTACATTTGTCTAAGACACTGAATGTCAGCCCAGAAGCATATTTTGTAGACTCGTGATACATAATTTATTAACAACGATAAGTGAATATTTTGTTAAGTTTACGGAAAACACTGAATTTAGGTATCGTTAGAAAATTATGAAATATATTATAGGTACTATGACCTATGTTTCGGCATGAAGGCGGCCGAAGCAATGCTGGTGACTAACATATTATGGTACATGACTGGGCCTATTGCTACAGTCTACATGTGGTTCTCGGAGATCCAGCTATACCGCTAACCGCTGTGCTCACTTTGCTGAGCTTCTGTCTCTGCCGAAATTGGTTTCACTTCTACTTCGAAGATATATGTCCACCGTCGTAGTTCAGGCTATCAGTAAGGACGTCGTGGATACTGCCATACAGCCACACAGGTCGAGATATCACAAATACTTTTGATATAGTTGTTAGTGGGTCAAAGGTCAAACACACTATTTTTAGTGTGTTTGCTATATTATGTTATTATTTAGTCATTTATAATGTATATGGTTATTTGTACCAAAAATATTGGTTTCGTATGTCAATTATTATATTTTTAAGCTTTATAGTTTATTATTGTTGTAATTTTTACCCACTTGTTGGCTGAATCCCCCTATCCTCTACACAACGAGAGTCGGTGCAGCAAACTGCAAATATACAAAAGTGCTGCTTCTGCGTACAGATGTACCTAAACATTTAATTTGCACGTATTTTATTTTAATAAATATTGAAAAAATTCTTACGAGTACCTAAGTACTATAAGTACTAGAACGTGCTGGAATTTTTTTTTTGCCTTAAAAAAAAAGGTACGCGTTTCGTATGCTACCGACATGTCTGTGATTATATTTATAATTTATATGCGATATTATTTGTCACATCACTTATTTAGTTTAAATTAACTTTGAATAAATTGTATTCAAACGGAGTGTACCTATACCGAATCGAGTAATATATATATATATATATAACTATTGATGGAAATCGTGGTACATTCACGTGAGGAAATGTGATTCGTGGTTTTATTACACACGACTCATACGAATTTAATCGCTTAAATAGTGTTCAATGAAATATTCGTTACAGCGGAAAAACAGCTCAAGTCTTGTAGTTTTGACGTCTGATGTTATCTCAAATGTTAGCTAGGTAGCTGTAGGCGTTAGGTCAATTCCTCTGGAGTGTGGGCACAGAATAGATTAAATCTAATTTAATGATTTAATAATTTAATTTAATGATTTAATCTATTCTGTGGTGTAGGTTTCGATACGGCGGCAACGCATTGAGCCCTTTGAATACTACGGCCGCCCGAACTTTTTGAATTTTTTTCCGATACTTTTCAAATTTCTCCCTTTATCAGTTTTCGTATTTTTTTTTTGAAATCCGTCATAATATATTTATTGATTGATATTCATAGCTATTTTTACACAAGCTGCATATATACATATAGGTACATTTAGTACATCTGTACACAAATAATTCTAACTTCTGTGTCTGCAAAGTAACACTATTACTAGTTTTTAGTCTCATGAAAAAAATTTGTCCCGGGCCCCGCAAAACCTCCCTCCGACGCTGATTATTTCACCCTATTTATAATAAAAATTATTAATTCAATCTTATACAATTTATTTTATGTCTCTAAGATATTAATTGTTCGATTTACCTATAGTGAAATAAGTAATAACCAAAATTAATTTTTCTTTTACGACAGATTACAACCAGGTAAATAATAATATTTTTAATGTTTTTAATATGCTATTTAATACGCAGATGTTGTTTTAATCATGGAGTATTACTCTAGTAGTTCATGTTTTTATCTATTTACAATGAATTGTCATTACTCATTAATATGGATTTTAATAAGTGATTAGATAATTTATTGTATAAATTTTAAATAGTTGTGTAGTAGGGTGGTAAAAGTAGGAGTATGACAACAGTTGGCAAAATGATCTTCAGTATTTATAGGTAATATCCATTTACTTAGGCGTCTCTTAAATTAGTAGGTAATTATTTCATCAAACATATAGATTATATATCAACATTCTTCAAACTAAAATACATTGAAATTGTATAGGTGTTTTTTTTATAAAATTATATTCTATTTAATACTTATCCAAAAAAATATATAAATAAATTTATTTAGTATTTATAATTGTTATTTTAATTCAAAATTTAGTCATAAATGTTTTTTTAATTTACAATAATAAAATAATGTTATCAATATTTCAAAAAGTTCAAATATTTTAAATGTTTTCTTCATGGTGACTGACCTAAGCTGTTAATAAGTTGAATTTATGTATGAAAATATTTTGATCGTAAAAAAATAAGATTTTAAAAATTATAACACTTAAAAATAGTTTTTGTTTTTTATAAATAATTCATAAAATAATAACTAAAAATAAATATTAACAACAACATTCTGACAATTATAAAATCACAAACATAAAAATCATGAAACAAATGTCTACATCAGTATACATACATTTTTTTGTTCAAATGGATTATCACCACCAATTTGTTTGAATATATATTTTTAACAAGTGCTGACTAGTTAGATTAATCTTAAAACAAAATTTGTTTTTTTTTTTTTTTTGGCAGAGATAAAAAACAAAGGTACACAATCCTAATAAGTTCATTTTTTTAAACAAAGTTATGGTTCAATGGATAGCAATAAATCATCTCCTTCCAATTTCATTCCAACGCTTATATCAATTTGTTTAACTGTTCCAGCTATAGGCGATTGCACCACCATTTCCATTTTCATTGCAGATAGAACAACTAATGGAGCGCCTTTTTCAACCTTGTCCCCTACTTTCACACGAACATCCATTACTGATCCAGGCATTGGAGCCCCAACCTGTCCCTTATCGGATTTGGAAGCTTTTGGATGTATATGCATCTCCTACAAAAAAAATCACCCGTGTTATTATAGTAACTTTTTTTAACAATTAATTTTACAAAATTAAATACTTTAGAAGCTTCATTGTCTCGTATGAACACAGACCGCAATTGACCATTCATTTCAAAGAATACTTCAATCTCACCGTTGGCAGTTAACTCTTCAGAAATCGCAAGTGTTTTAAAGGCTAATGTTTTACCTTTTTCAATTGTCACCTTAAACAATTGTTACTCATTAGATTAAACTTATCAAATGAATGTATTATCATACATTAAATTAGTTGAGTAATTATTTAAAAATGCTAACTTCAAAGTTTTCTCCAACTTTAGGCCCAGTCAAAAATATTCTAGTATCAAGTTTATCTACTGGTCCATATTTTTCCTTGAATGTCAGGAACTCATCTGTGACCGTAGGATAAAGGGCAGAACTCATAACATCATAATCACTAACTTTTTGATATTTTTCTTGTAAATCAGATTTAACTTTGTTAAAATCTAAAGGAGGTAAAGTGCATCCAGGCCGACCTACAATCCGTGGCATGTCTTTTAAAACCTGTAATAATATAATACGTTTTAAAGATTTTAAACTATACAAATTTTGTATTTAGTGAAATAAAAGTAAAAGATATGATTTAGGTTTAAAAAGCATAAAAACTAAAAGTAAAGTGTTACTTATTGCACACGAAAAAGCCCTAAAACATAATGATATTGCAATATAGTTACAAAAAATCAAACAGGAATTGAGTAGGAAAAACTAACCAAGAAAGTGTTGATGAGAACCTATTAGTGAAAAGAGGAAGTAACTTTTTCTTAGTATAGAAAGTTTAAGACAAATTAAATTTATAGGGATGTAGGTAATGATCATTCATCAAGTACCTAATATGGGGCTTGCAAGGAGAAATCTTAGATTCATAGTAATTCTACAATATTTTATTACTGTTATATATTCTACATAGAAGAAGAATTAAAGATTTTACAGTAATATTATACATTAAGAGTTAGTGAGAATAAATAATAAATATTATCAAAAGAACCCATCAGAACAATTGCCTTTGCTAAACATTCAGTAATGAATGATAAGAACTGTTTTAATTTTTAATTCCTTTAACAAGAGCGGTTCAATAAATATGGATGTAGTCATTTTTTGATCAAGTAGTGCAGGTATTAGATATACAATTACAATAATTGAAAATTTAAAAATAAAACTATATGGTGAAATATTTGTTTGACAGCTGAAATATAATATGTACTATAAATATTCATTAAGAACTAATAAGTAATATAATATTGTAAATAATGATATGTATGTATTTTATAAAAAAAATAAATTATTTTTTACTTGAGAAAGCTATTTAACACTTAAACATTTTATGGGCGGCCTTTTAAACTTCTGCAGTAATATTATAATAGAATTACATATAATTATTAATTTATAATTTACTTTTGATCTCAATGGTTCAGGGAATCCTTGGTATGGTTCACCAATACCACCTTGTAGGAATTCAATGACTGATTTAGGGAAACTCAGTTCTTCAGCCTTCTCTAATACATCTTCAGCAGTTAATTTGTTTTGTACCATGAATTGAGCAAAATCTCCAACAACTTTGGAAGATGGTGTTACCTAAACATTTATTATTTAGAAAAATTAAAATTAAATATTTTTTTATTATATTATATTTTTAATTTTTAAGATAATAATATGTGCACTATTTATAAAATAGTGTAACTCATATTTCACCTTAATAATATCACCAAGTAAAATATTGGCTTCTCTGTAAGCTTTTTTCACATCTTCAAAGAAGTCACCTAATCCTAGAGAGTAAGCCTGAAATTGGAGATTGGTATATTGACCTCCAGGAATTTCATTTAAATAGACATCAGCATTTCCTGATTTCATTGTTGTAGTACATTCAAATGGTGCATACAGAGTTCTCGCTTGCTCCCAGTAAGCACTATATTCAGATACCTCTTTTAACTTTAAACCTTAATCAAAAAATATTTTTAAGTAAAAATTTATCAAATTAAGATTTAATATTTTATAGTTATTATTACCAGTATCTAATTCAGTATCCTGCAATGAAGCGATAATAGCACCCATGCTAGGTTGTGAAGTCATACCAGACATTGAGTCAACGGCAACATCTACTACATCAGCACCAGCTTGTGCTGCAGCTAACATAGAAGCAACACCAGCACCACTGGTGTCATGAGTATGGACATGGATAGGTAAATTGGGATATTTAGCACGAATAGCACCAATGAGCATAGTAGCAGCTCGAGGTTTCAAAAGTCCTGCCATATCCTGATCATTACAATATAAAAATAAAATATATAAAAACAATTTAATCAATAAGGGTAGAAGATTAGTGTTATGAGTTTATGACTTTTATGATACAGAACTCAACCACATGAGCTTTATGAAATTTGAAAAAAAAAGTTTGAATTTGAACTTAATGAAGTGGAATTAATATTTTGGTAAGTGTAAATACTGTTTTATTACTATTCTATTTTAAAATTTGTTATTATTCAATTATTAAAAGTTTTTAAAAATGTGGGTTTATGAAAACTTAGATTTAACTCATCCCTAATACAAATTTACATACCTTGATGCACAATACATGAGTACCAGCTTTAACTAGCTCATCAGCAAAATTTACATAATAGTCTAAAGTGTATTTTGTTTTACAAGGATCAGATACATCTCCAGAATATGCAATAGCTGCTTCAACAACACCTCCTGCTTTAGCAGCTGCTTCCATACCAAGAATGATATTTGGTAAGTAATTAAGAGAGTCAAATACACGGAACACGTCCATACCAGCTTGAACAGCTAGATCACAGAATCTAGAAACAAAAAAATGTTTTAATTAAATCAAGTACTTGCTATAAGCAATAAAAAAAAAGTTCATACTTAAAGACAACATTATCGGGGTAGTTTGTGTAACCAACAGCATTTGCCCCACGCAATAACATCTGAAACGGTATATTAGGTATAGCTGATCTCATGTCTGCTAATCTTTCCCATGGACATTCATGTAAGAATCGAAGTGCAACATCAAATGTAGCTCCACCCCAGTTTTCCAATGAATATAAACCTGGGAAACTTTGTGACACCCATGGAGCAATACGTAGAATATCATGGGATCTAAAATATACATTTAATTTACATATTAAATTTAAAATATTTATGAGATAAAAATAAAATCTGCTTTACCTGACTCTAGTGGCCAAAAGAGATTGATGTGCATCTCTCATTGTTGTGTCCATTAACAAAAGTCCCTTATGGTCTCGAACTGCCTTTGCAAAAGCTTCTGGTCCATCTTTAGTGAGAATTTGTTTAAATCCTTTAGGTGGATTCAAGCCTAAAATATAATTTTAAGTATTATAACACTAATTTGTGTACCACATTTCTACAATGTTAACATTTATATTAATTATGGTAAAAACATCTGATAAATACTTGTCATAAAAATATAAACTGAAACCAAATGTAAAATGTATTATGTAGGTACCTAATACCTATTAACTGTTAGTACTTGTTAATCACGAGTTAATGTTAAATATGCTAAATATTATGAATAGGTATACAATAATGTTAAATTATTAGTAAAGAGTTAAAGTAGTTTATTATATAAAAACATCAATTACCTGAGTTATTTTCTGGATCATTTTTGCCTAATATACGTGCAACGTAATCTAGACAAGCATAATATGCAAAATGATATGAAAACAATGAGTAAAACAGGTGCATACAATTATAACACAAATACACTTGTTAATAAAATTGTTCACACAAAATATGGTTAATTTATTACTATAAGTTATAGCCTATAGGTAACTAATAAGTGAATATTTTTATAAGGAGATAAATTATATAAGTACTTGTACAGGAATAAACTGTTATTATGTATACAATAAATAAATGTATTCGGCCCCCTTGAGTATAGAAAAATTAACATTCTGCCTTAAAGGCAACCGGTACCAATTTAATTTTATACATAAAAATACACTACACGGGAATAATGATCTTGTTATGTAGAATCAACCAAATTTAATATTTTTTTTTAACTAATAGAGGGTTTTATTCTTCAGGCAGCATTAAACTCCATTTTTCTCTATTTTATTCTCAGACTTCTATGTCTTCAAAAATAATACAATTTTAAGCTTTTTTATATAAATTATATAAATTAAATATAAAATTGGAGTTCAATACATGTAGGAAGTCTTTTTCTTTCAGCTTAAAAAACAGTTATTAAAGTCGAACAATTCTAGAAAGTGTGGGAATTTTATTATTCATGTGAAGTCATTTTTTTCAATATATTACAACGTATGTCCGTATCTATCCCTCCTAAATAGGTATCGAAAGGTAAATTAGTGGAAAAGTATTATAATTAAAGTAATTTAAGGTAGTTAATCAAGGTATTTTTTCAACTAAAATATAAAATATAATTTTTAAATTTTAGAATTGCAAAAAATTTGAAAAACCAGCACTAGGCCCCCTAAACAGTTGAAACATTTATACAATTTATAATTAGTTCAGAGTTCAGACATTTATATTTCATTTAAGTTAGGTCTTTGGTTTAAAATTTCTAAAATTAATTTTATATTACCTATAAAATCAATGTATTCACTAGAACAAATACAACATTGAGAATGAGGAGAAAATAAATAACAAAATAAACAATGTTTTGTTGGATTATCAGCTGAATGAAACATTTTTTGGTGGTGTTTAGAAGGTAATATTTTAAATTCTTAAAAGACATCTAAAAATATTTCCATATGTTACGACAATAACAATTATTTTTAAAGAAAAAATATGTACATTCACAAAAAGCTCCTAAATTAATCAATTAGGCACCTACTTAAAATATTTTTTTAAGTATCTATTTATTAGCATTATCTAGGTAGCAGTTTGTAATAGAGTTTGTGTGTATCGTTTTGGATTACAGCTGAGTGACAACGGCTGACAGTTCACAGACAACAGACCTAACCTTAAGTGTGGATATAGTATAATTTAATATAGGGAATTATAGGATTTTTTTTAGTGGTAAGAAACACCTGAATTAAAAGGCATATAATATACACATCAAACATAGATATGGTCTTTATAAAATACAGTCTTGAATATTTAATTTATGCTGGATCGTTCATAAGACGACTGTAATAAAATAATTATTATAATATAATTCGTAATGAAATAAATAGGATGATAATAATCATAAATAGGCATTAGAGCATAATACCATCTAAAAAAAAAATAGAAAAATAGAAAGGATGAACATTAAATATTAATAATTATAAATGAAGGCACCTGGTATTAAAGTAACTTTGTCCTTAAAAATACACTATATATAACTCGAATAACGATAATGTTCTGTAGAATCGATCAAATTCAATTAATTTTTTTTTTAGTTAATAGATGAAAATATGATCCAGCCTGCATTGAACTTCGTTTTTCAATATTTTAATTTCAAACTTTACAAATAAGTTTAAAAAAAAAAAATTTACCCTTTTTTACAAATTATTTTATATCATAAAAAAAAAAAAAAAATGAAGTTCAATGTAGGCTGTAGAGTATTTTTCTTCAGATAAAAAAATATTTATTAAGATCCAACAACTCTACAAGATCTGAGAGTTTTTCCTGTTAAGTAATTTTTGTGAATATAATACAAAGTACTAGTCTCCCACCCTTAAATAGGTATCGGATAGTAGATTGGTGGAAACATATTGAAATTGAGGTGATAAGTAGAAAATATAATTTTCAAATTTTCAAATTTTATAGAATCGTGAACAATTTGGAAATTTGGCATCTGAGAAAAATAATGACACCTGCCAAAGCACTATAATATTATTATCCAAAGCAGAGCTCGTATTTGTCACTTATCAGAAGGTTGTTATGTTACAAATACCTAGTTAGAATTTTGTTCTTACAAAGAACATTTTTTGATTTTTGACTAAGTATAAGGAAAAATTCAAAAAATAGTATAACAGCTAATAATAACCTTAGTCAATTTAAGAATTTTTCTATTTTCAAGAAATCTTACTATTAGTAACAAAACATTATTGCTGTTGTATTTTAAATTAATGATATCACCGTGAAGATTAGAGATCTAAATTTTAAAAAAAATATACAAACTCACAAACTGTATATAAAGCTAGGCTAATAACTAAAATGTATTAAAAATTAAGTTATAAGTTACTCTTTTTGATAATAAACAACTTAGGTAGGTATTTATTTTTATAAATAATTCAAGCATGACTTAGTCATTTTATGAAAATTAAAAAGAAAGTCTTTTACAAATTGTCTGTATAAATAACAGCATTTATTTTTCAAGAAAAATTACGCATTTTTGTGTGAATGGAAAATAACCACGCAAAAAAATAGCCACATTTTGCAAAATTAAAAAAATAGTTACTTAGGCGTTATGTATGTGTTAAATTTGAATTCAAGGAGAATGAAAAATAGTTAATTAGGTACCTATTATAACACTGCATAGGTATTTCTATTGTATCATATTACTGAGTATTTGTATTAACTTTTGAGTCAATACTACCTTACCGTAGAACAGGGAGTGGGTTCATGCCTTCATGGTATAAATAGGCAATAGTTTAAAATTAATTCAAATATTTTTATGTTATTGCTTATATTAAAATACAATTTTTCAGTCCCCACAAGGCCATAAATGATGTTTTTAAATTACATGAAAATAAGCTGGTATTGAAAAAACCCTTTTGAAATATATTGGGAATTTTTTTGTTGTTGTTAAATTTGTATTCAATCATAAATCATATCATATAGGTACTTACTGGCTACGATAAAAATAATTCAGAGCGGAGACGGTCTGTTATACCGATCAGATATTATATAATGACTACAGACTTGTAATATGGATTTAAAAAATTGAATATTTGTTATTTATTTATATATTATTGTTGAAATTGTAAAACAAATTTGACTAAAAAATTAACAATTTATTTGCTTTTAAATCATACATCGACTGACATTGAAATTTAGTGAATATATGTGTTAAAAACACATAATTTTTATTCAAGTGTTATTTTTTTCACATTCACAGGGTTATTTTTCGGGAATTATTTATTAGACAATTCATATTATAGGTAATGTATTATCATAGAAATGTACTTTCTCATAATACTATAGGAATTAAGCAGTATGGCATACAACCCCGAGAACCACCCGGGCAGAAGATATCGATGACAATTGTACAAAAATATATTTGTGGCTTATTGGTGGTGGCGGTGGTGTATGGTCGTACACTCAATCTGCGGAAACGCTCAAAGTGTGGCTTTCAGATGGGTGACTACTCAGGTTTTTAGCAACATATACACAAGCACGTGTTACCCCCCTACCAACATAAAAAACCTACTAAACCTGTACAAAAAAATACTCTACTGTACCACCCCACACCCAATAGCCCATGTTGCCACGGGTTCCCTCTCTAATAAAAAAAATATACATTTTTTCCTGTAGTGGTAGAAAAAATATACATTTTTTTTTCTGCAGTGGTCGATCGGAATAAAACTATAGGCTAAAGATTGGATTTTTGGATAATAGGTACCTACCTATAACCTATTGGCTATTTATATCCCCCCCCCTGAAATGATGATTGGAGATATCTACTATTAGTACTGTTGTTACTCGATGGTTGATAAATGATAATAATAAGATCACTTAAATGATGGACCAAATTTCAGATATCTAAGGATTACTAGTACTAGTTACAACTAACACTCCCAGTTTTAAGTTTTTGAAAAAAAAATTAAATACTTCCTTAATACACAAAAAAGTCAGAGGCGACCAGTGTTCGTTATAAATTTATTATTCTATATTAAGGTCCAAGACTAAAGTAAAAACGATTATTTGCCATTCGTAGCTTAAAAATATGTTTCTGCCATTATGAAAATTTAATATAAGTAACTAACTTTTAACTTAGTTATTTATTTATTATTATTATAATTATTATATATTTTTACTTAACTTTTAACTAATAATTCTCTGAACATTTGTATAACCTAACTTTATCAATCAAATATATATTTTTAAATTAATTTGAACTTATTTTTATTATTTTTATATAACTTAACTTAAATTAGACAGTTTCAAAAATTAGTAAAACTTGAAACTTAAATTTAAATTTTTTAAAACTTGCCCAGGTTTGTCTATAAGACACATTATATACATGCAATGCCATAATTATAGTTTACATTATATTAATTAAATCATAAATCATAATGATAGTGATGTAGGTACTAGGTAGTACAATACTGATAGCTAATCAATTAATTATGTTTGAACAAATAAAATATATAAATATATATGTATGTACCTGCAGGGAATTCAGGTACATTAGGGCGTACATTTGCTGGCTTTAAACTGGTTGCTAATGGAGTCTGAGGGCCATTTACTAAAACCTCTCCCAAATAGTTCAGTAATTTTTGAGCTCTATTTTGAGATGGCTCAAGTGTGAACAGTTGAGGGTTTTCATCAATAAAATATGTATCAACTGATCCATTTACAAATTTTTCATTGGTTAACACATTTAACAAGAATGGTATATTGGTCTAAATTATAAATAAAACACATTTAACTTTATTAGTTTGTAGTTTATAATTTAGTGTAAGAAGAAACAATTATGAAATGTTCATATTACTTTTACTCCACGAACTCTAAATTCGCGTAAGGCACGGTTCATTTTAGCACAACATGCTTGTAAATCAGCAGCATGCGCAATAACTTTAACGAGTAATGAATCATAGTATGGACTGATTATTGCTCCAGAAAATGCAGAGGCACCGTCCAATCTGATACCCATGCCTTCACCACTCCTGAATACCTTAATTAACATTATAAGTGTTACTAATGCTATTTTAAAAAAATATATAGCATTTTATTAAAAAGTTAGCTTTTACTTCAATACGGCCAGTGTCCGGTTGGAAATTTTTAGCAGGATCTTCAGTAGTAACACGACATTGGATAGCAAAACCTTGTGGCTTAATTGAGTCTTGTGTCAATCCAAGTTCAGGCAGTGTAACGCCTTCCGCGATCCGTATTTGAGATTGCACTAAATCAATACTGTAATGACAAAGAATAAAATATTACCAGATTAAAGTTTGAAAATATAAAGACATTTAGTTTAATTTTATTTTACCCAGTGATCTCTTCAGTAACAGTATGTTCCACTTGAAGTCTAGCATTAACTTCAATAAAATAGAAATTGCCTTTGCCGTCTGTTAAAAATTCTACGGTACCGGCGTTTGAATAACCTACATGTTTAGCTAATTTGACTGCACGTTCAGTCATTAAATCTCTAACCTATTAAATTAAATATGATTAGGTACATAACAAATATATTTATTTATTTATATTAAGTTAAATAGTTTTACTTTTGGGTCCAAATGAGGAGCTGGTGCCAACTCAACAACTTTTTGATGACGACGTTGTACTGAACAGTCTCTTTCATATAAATGAACAATATTTCCAGCCTGATCACCCAAAAGCTGAACTTCAATATGTCTTGGTCTTTCAACAAATTTCTCGATGAACATCGCACCATCACCAAAAGCTGCTTTTGCTTCTGAACTAGCACGTTCAAAACTTTCTTTTACTTCCTAAAAATATGGGCTGTATTAACTGAATCAAATACATATTTATCTAATAACTTACTTCCATTTTCCTAACAACCCTCATACCTCGGCCACCACCTCCAAAAGCGGCTTTAAATATAACTGGTAAATCATGTTTCAGACAAAATTCAATAGCTTCATCAGATGTCCTAATTGGACCAGGAGTACCAGCCACTATTGGGACACCAGCGTCAATAGCTGCTTGTCTGGCAGCAACTTTATCACCCATTTGTTGAACAACATAAGGTGTTGGTCCAATAAACCGGATTCCAGCATCAATGACTGCTTGAGCAAAGTCAGATCGCTCAGATAGAAAACCATAACCAGGATGAATAGCATCGACATCGTTTTCCTGTTATATATATTATTTTAATAAACAGTCAAGATTGTATCTTATAATTTTGAAACTCGTATAAACATTGTTTCCACAATAATTTGTCTTAAAAATGTGTTTGTTAAATTACTTTTGCAATTCTAATAATTTCAGGTATGTCAAGGTATGCTTCTACTGGAGCTTTTCCTTTTCCAACTAGATACGATTCATCGGCTTTTAGTCTATGCATATGCATTTTATCTTGTTCTGAATATATAGCAACAGACTTGATACCCAATTCATTACATGCTCTGAATACACGGATAGCAATTTCACCTATATGTTTATAAGACAACCAAGCCAATATTTATGTATTACACATTATAAACTAATAATAATATTCATTTGAGCACTCACCTCGGTTAGCTACAAGAACACTTCTGATTGGTTTGTATTCAACTTTAGATGAATACCTCGCTCGTGATATAGATAGGGCGATGAATTGGTTTCGAACGTGGTTCCGGACGGAACCACTTACATTTGAAATTATCATTATGACTGTACAATTGGAACTTTGCTATAATCTATAACAAAGAATATAAAGTATAAACATATAAATAATATCAAGTTAATTAAATGTATTTTATAAAAACATTAATTTTGTAGCATGGGTAATTTTTTACATTTAGTCCTCAAATTGAGAAGAACTTAGAGATTAAAGTAAATTTTAACAATTTAAAAACTGTATCAAGTGTATAATTTTTTAAATTGAAGAGACTTAGTCCCCCAAAACTCTGACAAGTCCCGCCAAATTAAGTCCTCGTTAAATAAGAGCTAATAGTGAAAATTAATTTTTTACAAATATTTAGAAACAAAACCAAACGTAAAAAATTATTTGAAATGTCATTTTTTTGGTACCTACAATATTTTTGATAGAAAAATAGATGATATAAGCATAGACTATTGTCATAGAACAATATTGTTGTTTTTAAAAACCATTAGATTTTTAAAGACCATTAGGTTAAATTTTCAATCTTGTCTACTCCAAAAAAATAATAACTTGGTCAATAACAGATATATGGTGTATCTTAATTTTTTCAAATATATACAGTTCTCGATGACAGGTATACACATCAGTTCAGCAACGTGCAAACGTGTAGCCGCTCTTTAGTACCATAATATAGTTCAAAACTTAATTGAGGATGAATAAGAGACATATATCTCTTTAAAGTCCAAATATTTATATTATAAATTCATTTGCATAACGGAACTGCGTTATTATTTACTAATAAAAAAATTAACTAAGATATGTATAGTATTTTTTTTTTTGTATTTCAATAACTATAGTTGGTAAAACTTATTTTAAGAAAGACCAAAACATATACATTATACACCTATATATGTTACAACGATAATTCTCATATACGACACAAGGACAAATGTCATTGAAAAACTAATTTAAAAAACATTTGTGCGCATACAATTTAAATTAGCTTATGAGTTTATACAATAAACACTTAACTGTATAGAATACAGAATCAAAAATGAGAAATGTTCATGTTTAAATTATTTAAATATACTGATTTATTAAAATTAATTGGTTATTGGTAGGGTCTAGATTTTAGTGCGTCAATAAGTGGCAACATACAAATGTGCATTAATAAATACAAATGGTACTGTCTCCCCCCCCCCCCCCACGAAAAAACAAACATTATCACATAAAAATAATAATAATTTATACCTATATGACTGTACATATACTATAATACATTAATACTATAATACCATTTAATACCGAATACCCCAACTTCATAGATAGTAAATATTAAATCCATTATAAAATCAATGATAATATAATGTAAACGAATATTTTAAGCTTTAAGCTCAAATTTCGGGAAATTCAAAAAATATAGCTGACGGTAGAATGCTATATTTTAGTTATTAAAAAGTTACTGATCATCGGAGTGCCCTCAATTTCTAATCTACTTTACTACTAGAGAATAATTGTCAAAGCTTCATGGTATGTAACCTACCAATACGTCACACTACATTATGACCTAAATTTCAACACATATTGATACAACATAACTATTTTATATAGGTAGACGATTTTAATCAAAGATCGAATATCATAAATAATAAATATCAATACTGATCATGCAACCGGATTGATAATTATTTTACTTGACAACCCTAAAGTTTGGGGTGAGATTGGTCGATAGCTTTCGTGTCATTTAAACCAACCATCCTTAATCTTGGTACTATTTTCCAACGTGAAATTTGGAACTTTGTGTCAAGTCTCAGAATCTCAACCAGTTACGCAAATCCCTGGTAACAAGGGGAGGGGGGAGGGACACATGCTCAAAATCACCCCAACAAATTATTTGCTATAGTAGGTTGTGTGTATAATGTATATGGTAAATCCTAGTAAGTTTACGCTGGTAAAAGTTATATACTTACACAACTATATTGCACGATTAACTCATACAACAGTGAATAGATATGATTGGAATAATTGTAAATGAATACTGATGGTGGATGGATGCCGGGTGGTAAATGTCTAGGTTTGCCTATCGTAAAAAAAATTATTTACGCCAATGATTCTAACTTTGTACTCGTGAAATAATAACATATAGGTACTTGTACTTCTACATAATTAATTGTTCTTTGTACATAGTACAATATGTCAATATACATATTACACACCTAATAGAATATAATATATGCATAAAAAAATTATAATCATGCACTAGAAAATTGTTTTGCAGTCAATAAAATAGAGGTTGTTAGAAGTTTTAAAAATGTTGATCATAAAACCAATTAAGATTTTCAACGTTATTGGACATAGTAATTACTAATTAGCGATAACTAATTTTAAAACCTTGTATTAAAATTACAATTCTTCTCGTCTATAAAAATCAATTAAATGAAATATCCAAAAATAACGAAATTTTCTGTTTTTAAAACTAATAAAAAAAACCGTGAAGTCTTTTTTGCAGGTGCCAAGGGTCATCGTCATTGAGAAGTCACTGTAATATATGTGTTAATTCGGAATTCAATGCATACGCAAACGATTCTGTCAGTCCATATCTTTAAGGGTATTTTATTATATTATTATACTTATATTACTATTAGTAATTTATTTACCTATCAGCAGCTAGAGTAAAACTGGTAGGTTAAACTAACTTTTGCTAAAACAAATTACATATATTTTTAGTTAAAAATATTACTAGTCATTAAAAGTAGGTACAGTGAAACGGTATGAATAGTTTCATGGTATAAAATATAAATAGCTTAAAAAAAATCGAAAAACCTATTTTGAATCAATTTTGTTAGATAGTTAAAATAAACTATAGTAAATACTAAATAATAATAACGAGTAGTCCCTAGGATAATTCTTTTTTATTCATTGAATTATTTATTTCAATTAGGTACAATTAAAGAACTAAAATCCTTTCATTTAAATACTTAATTTCATTAAAAATGTGTACTAAAATGTTTATTAAATACAATTGTGCATATTGCGTATTTTAGAAATTTTTATGTTGCCTAATAAATACTTACAAGAAACCTTGTATTGATTTTAGTTATTAAAATTGAATATTTTATACATTTTTAAGTATAAAACAATATCATGAGCATATTTTTGTGGCTTTGTCGAATTGTATCATTCCTTTGGGAATCTTATAAGTTATAAGTAATAAGTAATAACATATAATATCAGTCTATAGGGATTTCGTTTCCACTCATGAATATTTAAAGTTCAATGTCTTTATAATTGTTTGTATATCCCGCAATCTGTATCCTATTGTTCGTTATAACCTACTTATGAATTCCAAATTTAGTTTTATGCGTAAATAATATATTATTATTTGGAGTAGTGTCAATGTCTACTATCCATCTTCTTCAATCACGTCTACTACTTCTTTATTTATTTATTATTAATATACTGAGCAAGACTCCATTTACAATATGCGTAAAAATATGACAATCATATAAAGCATAATAAGCATATATGTTATAGTATTACTATTTACTTATACTGTTTCTTTTCTCAATGAAAAATAAATTATTATGTATGATGTAAAATTATAAATATAGTCTAAAGATAGTAAATTTGGATTCAAATAGATTGATATCAAAATGGTCAGAAACTCTGTGCATAACCAAGATCGTACATCCAAAACCGGTCGTCTGTGATTAGTGATTAGAATAAAATAAAAAACCAAGTACAAAAAAAATTAATTTTTAGGATTGATCTTATAACAACCGAAAGACCACCGCAATCCTATTTAGCGTCAATCTTATGCTAACACACAACTATAGCAATCATACATTTTATAAAAATATCGGATAAATCATAAAGTGTCAAGGGTCACCCAATCGAAAGATACTAGTATACTACCTACCTAGTACCTACCATCGCCAAATGTGCCCTCTACGGCAAAGACCGTTCACTGTTCAGCCAATTTTAAGGAATGCCCGGTCTTTAATTCAATTTCCAATAAGCGCTTGTAAATCATTACAAATGTCATAAAAATACCCCTAACTCTAAGTCAAAAATGTCCTAGTTCCTCCCCTGTAATACTTATCATCATGCCGATCCATCAGATGCTTCTGTTACTTCTATGCTAAATCTCAAAGGTAACTCAACATTTTAAAAATGAATTAGCAATTAGCATTATTAAAATATATAATATTTAATCAATTTTCACTACTGTATTTAATACTTAAATTATTCTATAGTTAATTATAACCACCTTACGTAATATTAAAATTAGCTTATCTATCTATTTTTGTATTCTATAAAAAAATAATGTGCAGTAATTGTTATGCTATAGTAAATCATAATTACCGAGACGTTATTAACTGTCGAAATAAGAGGAATTTCAGCTGACATTTCAATAAAAAAAGGATTAATCTTAAAATTTAAATATTTTACTCGTAAAATAATTATTTTTATTTAATTTAGTAATAACTTCTAATTTCTTGAAACCCAATAAGCAACTTGTACTATATAAAAATGTAATATATATTTTATTATAAACTGTATATTTTTATTCATGCAAAAAGTATAATGAAATTCGATTGCTTGTAAAAAGTTTTTTTGATTTGAGAACGAAGCCATAACAATTAACAAATATATCATAAATTGCCCGCAATAATATACTTGTTAATGACATTTGAAAGTTCAATTAATAACATTTTCAAACAAGTTTTAAAATGTAATTCAATATTCATTTCTTTATTTTTTAAAAAAAAAGTTGCTAGTCAATTAAGAATTTAAATTTAAAACAAATTTATAAACCTAAACAAACCAATAACAAAAATAGGTGAGCAAATGGGTACCGCTCTGCTATGCACATTAGGTGTCGAGTGGGTCACTGCAATAGTGTGTTAAATTGTAATTATGATATTTCTTTTAAAGTAAATTATATTAATATTAGTATTATGGTAGGTAGGTTGATTTAGTTTTTGGTTTGACATTGCATTTATTATATTAAATAATATTTAATTATTATAGTATATTATAATTCTATCCTATTATAATATTATAAATGTTATTAACATTTGAGTCAATACT